CAGTCATATATAGAAAATATATGACGTAAATTAGACATTTATGATACAATATATCAAAACTAAGAAGTTTGCCAAAACATTACGTTTTCGGATGGAAAACTCAAACTTTAAGATATTTATAATTGGAAAACAGGTTAATGAAACAAATGAAATATATCTCGCATATTGTCAATAAACATCTCTAATGCTCACTTTGATGTCATTTATCACATTAAAGCTGAAGGAAGTAACAACATCTGCCATTAATTCAACAAAGTCAACAACAACTATATAAATTTTAAGTTTGAAGGCGTATTTGGTACGTTTTGTTGTACTGTTTCTATACATGGCATTCATGCTTTAAAAGGTTAAAATATAACCTACCATAACACATGCTTGGTGTAGATTTTGTTTATACACACATCTTTGTACACGTTGCAAGCAAAGGAAGAAACCCTAGCATCGATCCAGTATGGCTGGTGAGCTGACACAAGTCGAAACTGCAGTGTTCCGCTGACCAGGATGTATTCTCCAATAAGAGCATTAATATATCGTATTCAGTACGTATTCAATCAATTTGATTAGCGTAAATTTGTTCCATTAAAAAGAATTATTCCATTTTAATTTACATTTGCACAAATCAAACTCATAATTGATTGAATATCATATGACATATACATTTGTTTGGATTTCTGAATTCAAACCATGTGCAAAGTGTACACAACTCTGGAGTAAAAATAAGTTTGTAAATAAGGAATTAGTTTAACCATAAATTATAAAACAAATAAATTCTTTAAGGTGAACGTATTCAGTTTTTAGGTCATTTAGCACAATTACTTGATCGACAACCGCATTTACTGGAATGTATTTTGCAAACAATCTTCTCTTATTGGTGCAAAGTACTCCATTTTCAAGTGTCTTTTGATAATTTTGGAGCACCACCCTAGGCTCTATATGTTTGCTGAATTGCTACAAATTTTACTACCATTTTTGAGATCTAGCTAGAAGCCTGAAAGCCACTCATTTGGAAGTGACTAAAGTGCCGAATGCCACATTAAGAGTTATATCTGAAACTACAAAAAATAAAATAAAAATATTAAATTATCACCACCACTCCTCCCCGTGGATGGATGTTGTAAAAGTTACAACACTAACCTTTATCATTTATTACTAGTTATTTAGTAATCTAACGAACCAGTGAGATAGAAAAAAGTAATTTGACCTACTTCTATATTAAAAAGGGGATAATCGATGCAAAACGAATTAAAGGCACTTTTATCTCTTTTGTTTTATCAGAAAGATTAGTAAGGCCAAGCATCCATTACAAGCCTCTCTATAACATTACTAACTCAGCGATCTAATTTAAACACTTTTTTAAATATTCATTAGCAGTATGCCTGTTTATTTAATATTAATTACGAATATTAAACAGAGAATAATGATTTCATTAACAAAATTAATGGGTGCATAAATATTTATATTAATGATTTTTTATGCTAGGTTGAAAGGTGTGGTATGGTGCAAGACCAAGTCTGTGCAGTAGTTCTCAACAATCTCGTGACGTTTATGTAGTTTCATTACAAATCCATAATGATATATGTAGAAAATTAGGCATAACGTAAAACATATTAAAAAGGTCGGAAACAGAAATCGTTCAGTGTGACAGATATTGTTGTGTTATTTGAAGAATACGTATTTCATACAATGATTTTGATTGGTGGATACTAAAATAATCGTAATAGTTGGCTTTGGAATTAATTATTATATGTGATGATAAAATGTATAATAAAAAAACTAGAAAAAAGTTCTCGTACTAGAAACGTTCGTTTGTTTGTAATTAAGCACAAAGCTACACTATGAGCTATCTG